TTTAGACGATAATTGGCCGTTATTATTATCAATACTTTTTGATAACACTGATAACAATTTAAAATACCAAATAAATAATAAACAAAAAACACTATATTATTTTATTGACCTATATAGGCTATAATCATGATTAAATATCACCAATAAAACAATTGGGGGGGGGCATATACCCTTGCCCCCCACAGCTACGTCACGGACTTTACTCATGCCGAATATAGAGATCGCACTCGACGATATAAATTTATAAAACCAATTGCGTAAACAAAAAGCTACGTCACCTTGAAGCGGTACTACACGGAACTGTATTTAATACTTATAATTTATAACTAACTAACTACTCGATAAAAATTATATTTTTATGAAACAAGTTTTTCGGGAAAATATTTTGGTATAGAATATGAAATTAAAATTGCATAATGCCCTTCGAAAACTTAAAAATTATAATAAAAAAGTTAAAAAGATTATTGTTTTTCTAAAATATTGTTTTATAATGACTTAAAATTATGTAAAAAAATATTATTAAAGTCTTAATTATTTTGAGATAATGAGTGTTATCCGTTATAAAAAATTACCCACTATAATAGTGTTATAACTTATAAGAAATGCTGATATTACAGATTTTTTTGAGTATATATTAGTGTCAGATACTATAATATACTAATAACCGGTATTCTACATATAATAGTATAATGCACAGCTCTACCTATATGAAATTATATTTTTGCTTTTTAAGTAATTTTTTTTTTATACTTTATATATGTTATGACGTACATGGATATTTATGACTTATATAACCTGCGTATATAAAGTTTTTTTACATGTTTTTAATTTAAACGCATAATAAATAATAACTCTTCTGTTACATTACACCTTTTTAAAATTTTTAATTGTTGTGACCATACAAAAGTCATGTTGCAAAAGTTTTCGAATACGCTCACTTGAAATAAAATGGCAATTCTACAATAAATTTCATTTTGATTTTTTAGCTTCTACTACTTATTGTATGTTGCACATTTAATTCAAGTAAATGATAACCAGATTGCAATAATATGAATATAGTCAGCAATTAATCGTACAAAAATATTAGATCATTTTTCGTCAATATGATTTTGTAATAGACAATAGTTATGTTCTTTACGTCTATGGTTGCAATAATATCATAATAAGCTTGAGCTGGATCCGTATAGGCGAAACTAGTGTTACAATTTTGGGGGTGCTACAGGCTATAGCTCACCTAACAAAACTATTTATTTAAAATAACACATAAGGGGCTTATATCTAAATCAATAAGGTATATTTTTGGGGGGCTAAATCTAGTTCGGGGGGCTAAAGCTCCCCCCTCCTAGTTGCGCCAATGGCTGGAGGAAATAAACGTTTCGAGTTTATAATATTTGCTCTCCTGCAGATAATAGTGAAATCAGTATCATCAAAGCTATTACATTTTGTAATTCGTTTATTTTACATATACTAGAGCGATTAAGATCAAAACCATGGCGCTGACTTGTTCTATTATTACTGTTATTGTTATTATATTATTTTGAATCGTTATAATAAATATATATATATATCATATATGTATATTTAATATAGTGCAGCTATACGATTTTACACGATGACGTTATGCGTATAGATTATAGGTAGGATACGAATCGTCCCCCAACGACAATAATTTCGGACTTTGTGGATACGCTCTCCCCCTTCCCCCATGGGGTCGCCGATTGCGGCTGCTGCAGTGCGGGCAGTATTGTTGTGTGAGCGCTCGCGGAGTCGTCGATAAGAAGTTTTATCCTCACCCGCGTGGGACATGAGGCGCATAAAATATATATAAAGAAGGGCCGTGCAGGAATCGTATCGACACACACACATACACACACACACACACACACACACATGCGAGGTGCGTCTACGCCACACATATAAGCTCCTAAAATAGTGTAAATTGCGCATGCGCAGACCGCCGCCAGAGGCGACTAAAATCAACCGCACAACGATATTATAAACATTGGCTGCCGCCGCCGGGACCGCCGGTACATTAATTGTATGCAGTCGCGCTACTTGCTAGGTGGGAGGCTGCGCGCCTGCGCTTGCCAGACGGACGTTGCGGTGTCGCACGTCTGTTATCTTTTGGTCGTGAAATATTCGTCTGTTCATGACGTAGTCGTAGGACCTGTATTGTATTAGTGTAATATTGTATTTACTATTTTTCAGCCTCATGTAAAATTACATGCCAAAACCGCCACTGGATAACACTGTGTGTGTGTGTGTGTGTGCCCTCCACAATAGTGCCCTCCACAATAGAGATACAAGCCGGCACTCTTACCTCCGAAGACGTTGTTACCTCCGAAAACCCGGAGGTCACAAAGATTTCAATGGATTTCATCATAATTGACTGTTTCTATCAATTTCCTGCGATAAAAAGTATGGAGTCAAAAAGTGCCTTTATACTCACATGACGTGTATTGGGATGTGTAATAATAGTACCGTATATTATATATTATCGTATATATTATCGTAAAGATAATATAAAACAGACGTGTCTATGTGATATCTGACTAGTACGAGAAAGTTTACACCTTTATAACTTCCTTCTTTACACACCTACGTATAATGTTATGAATTGATTTTAACATAGTTATATTTTAAGCCCGGAGTTCATAATGCACAATTATTTCAATGTGTGTAAAATATGTGGCTATGTCGTAAATATAACATAAAACCGACGTGACTATGATATCTGACTAGGATGTGAACACCAGAAACTACACAACTCCACTTGTGACTTTCAGTACGAATTACCAGTGGCGGCTCGTGGGTGCTCTCGGTTGGGGTGTGACTTTAAATATAATAGTGGTAGTCATAGCCCATAGGTATAACAAATTATTTAAATAGACATTTTGTCACTTCATTTTAAAATGTAATTTTCCTAATTAATGCTATGTCTACTTTCAGCGCTGAGTTTAAATAATATTTGAATATATACTTAATGAGGTTATCGTTTTATAGTAAAAAACAGGTCGCGTCAGCTACCGAAAAATAGCGATATACATTTAATTTTGCCACCATCAATTTTTTTTAAATCGTATGCCGCCTAAAGCAACACATTACTTGCTGGTGCCCTAGCGACGAGCCTGTGTAGGAATAAGTACTTTTGTCATCCGAACACTTTTTTGTGATCTATAAAAAATTATTATAAAATATCTAGACACACTAATAAATAAAGGAACAAAATATAGACGGACTATAAAAAAAAAAACACAAACGCTCACCGGCCACCGTCGTTATCGCCTAGCGAGACAATATATAAATAAGTTTATAAATAGTCTACGTAATACTATTACTATTACTATTACTACTACTATTACTATTACTATTACTATTACTATTACTATTACTACGCTACTACAAATGCGATAAGATAACAAATTAGATACAAAAATATGTGACACACTGGAGTATGTAAAAAATAATACTGTTTAAATTGTATTCTACTGATTCTAGTTAGTAATAATAATAATCCGTCTTCATTTAAAATTGTCTATTATACATTTACAAAAGTGTGGATGTACCTTAGGTAGATAGGTAATAATAAATTTGATTTCGTAGATATTTAGCAACTGGAGAATCGTTCAGATCGTTAGCTTTTTCATTTCGAATTTCACACAGCTACATATTAAGAATTATTATAAAATTAACATTGGATGCTAAGGAAAATAGTTGAGTCTAGGAAACCACACAGTAAAAAAAACATAATATTATAATGCCCCGCAGCGTTAGTCGCGTCTACGGAAACTGTACCTATTAGGTTATTAGTGTAACAAGGAAGCGATCAGCGTAAAGGTACCTACAACAGTGCATAAAGTGTCTCAAAATAGTTTCTAGCGGATACTCTACGGAAAACTTCTGTATATTTTATATCCTCCAATGTATAAATATAATATCATATATAAATATGTATTTCCATTTTCCGCCGTCTAGCCGTTATTTGTTAGCGGATTTTAGAATAATTAAAATACATTACACACTACATGCATATTATGCCCTTAAGTCTTCCAATACTGGAGTCTACAAATTACATTGGTTTTACACTCATAAATCATAATATTAAGACTTCACGGAACACGATAGTAAATTCGGAATTATTTTTCTGCTTCGGAAGACACAAGTACATAAAGTGTTTATCTGCTTAGCAGAGTCCATAATGGCCATTTAACAATGATATTTTACACTTTCATAGTATTAAAATAGGTATGCTTAGTATACTAGGTATGCACTGTGTCTTCCAATAATGGAGTCTGTAAGGTGCATTTCAATTTACACTTAATCTTCATACATACCGTAACACGACAACGATTATATTGTAAGATTCATACATGGTACTGGATGTCAGAAGTACATACAGTGTTTATCTGCTTTGCAGAGTCCATAATGACTAGTGAACAATATTATTTTACACACATTCGTCATAATTTGCAATTCTAGGTTTAAAAAAAAATAGATGGGATGACTTCGTCCCCCGCGTCATCCCTCAATTCAAGCACTGATAGTTCGTTTAAACCGGGCCGTGTTTAAGATCGTCAATTATTGTTATCACAGACTGGATGTCACAAGTGATGAGTGTAAAATAATTAGTATTACAGTGGTCATTACCGTCTTATATACACTTATTATATTTCTCTGTTTTTTTTTTATATATTGATATATTTTAAAAATAAAAAAAAGAATGTGGTTTTTACAAAACCCTTCCCCCATGTCTTCTGTCTGACTGTCTAAGACAGCCATACTCAACCTTTTTTTTATTTGGGCCACATAAAATATTTTAAAATATTATGCGGGCCGCAAGTTGAAATGAATAGAACGGAAATTAAAAAAAAAACTAAAAATAAATTTATATATTGTGTATATTGTATAACATTTGAAAATTTATTATAAAAAAAATGTAATTAAATATTTATTCTTAATAAACTTAATAAAATTCACACTAATTAAATATTTATATTTAATTAGTGTGAATTTTGAAATTGAGATAGTTTTTTCACTATTTTGGACATATCTGGTTTGTAGTTGCTGCATGCTACTCTTAACAAGTCGTCAAGATGTGAATCAGTAAGCCGATTTCTGTACACATTCTTTGCATATTTCATTTTTGAATATGAAGTTTCACATAGATATGTTGATGTGAACATTGTCATCAAAAAGTGGGCACATTTTTGTAGGGTTTTGTATTTTCCTGGCACTAAATTCCAAAATTCTATGTATTCTTTTTGTTCTCTCTTCTCTTTGAAAATAGCTTCGAGATTTGTATCATTTTTTAATTCAATAATATTTATTACGTTTTTCATCACTAAATCCACTTCTGGAATAGAGACGCGTGCTGCCAAGTTTTCTTGGTGAATAATGCAATGAAATGACAAGATATTTGTTAAATTATATTTTTTTTTCAACAGAGAAATAAATCCCTTTTCACACCCGGTCATCGATGGACATCCATCGGTGCACACACAAACCAATTTTTCAATATCAATATCATTGTCGTCAAGAAAATTAGTTATCACATCAAGATAATCGACGCCTCTAGTTTGATTTTTCATTGGAATGAATTTCAAAAAGTCTTCATTAATAGAATTCTGTTAGTACAATATCTAACAAAAATAGAACATTGTGATGTGGCTACAATATCGGTGCTAGAATCAAAAGCTAAGCTAAAAAATTTACAATTTTTCGAGCTACGGCCAGTTTAGCGATAAGATAAAATACATCAAAATCGTTATAAATAGAAAAAATACCAAAAACATAATCATCCTTATCTATTGTTATATTTTATATTTATAATAATATTAGTTTTGAAACTTATATTTTTTTATCAATTAATGAGTTCTGTTCGGGCCACATATAAATCGTTGGAGGGCCGCATGCGGCCCGCGGGCCGCAGGTTGAGTATCGCTGGTCTAAGATATGACTCCGGCGACTGAGCGTCTAGCATTTTATCAATTATTATTCCATGATCCCTCGAATTCAATCAATCATATTTGATCAATGTCTATGAGCTTCGTGTAAGATTGGCGACAATAGTAATAGGAGCCTCTGTAATGATTATTCAATCTGCGATTGTCGACCGTTGACGGTGGCTTTTTGTATGAAAGTGTGTTCGGGAAGTCATAATGCTAGAAGTCATAAGTGTATCTTAAAATTGCATGCATTTTTTTTTTAAATGTCAAGTTTTAAACTCAGAATTGATACAGTTATTTTTTTCTAAACGTTTTAATGTCAACAAAAATGTTCTAAAACAGTTTTTTAGGGTGGAATCCGTAAATGCCTTAAAACTCATACGGAGTCCATTAGATACCCCATACTGGTATGTGTGCACTAACTTAGGCGACGACGGCTACCGCCTCTCGCCTCTGTCGATCTTAGCGCTTTAGCGGTGGCGGTGGCGGCGGCGCCTGGCCGGACGCAATATTAAATGGAAACTATTAATATTATAATTTATAATAGCTCGTAAGTTACGTTGCAGCGACGCGCAGCCATTCTCGCGTTCACACAAGTTCTGTACAAAAAAATAATATTCAATATTGTTGTTATAATATATATATATATAATTATATTAAATAATATCTAAAATAAATAAATAAATTAAAATTAAAAATTAAATTATACCATTAAAATTTAAAATTTAAAAATAGTACAAAATACCAATATAAATAACCAAATATTTTTTATTTTCGTAAAAATTACAAGTGAGGCGGTGCCTCACTTGCCTCACCCCCAAAATCGCCACTGGTGTTATCATCTGAAGATTTACGGCGTTATATTATTCCATATGCATTTCCATAAAACGGCCGTTTTCGCAGCATCCTCGCCGGACTGCTGCCGGAGTGTACGCTCACACATATACACGTGCGATAGGCGGAAACCGTTTACCTCGATCGTGGTAGACGAGAGAGAGAGATGCAGATAGAGAAAGAGAGAGAGAGAGACTGCAACAATAATATTATTGTATAAATCATAAGACTTTCATATGTTTTTTATCCTCTCCGTTTTTTTTTTTCAATAATTTCCCATCGTTCTTCCCGACCACACACGAGCTGCAACTTTCGTCCCCCACCTCTGCCACCTCTGCCACCGGGCTTGGCTATTCGGATTTATCCTCCATAATAATATAATAACGTTCGGCAATATAAACCCCGCGGGGTCTGTCGCGCCGCCGTGCATCATCAGCCAACAGATGTGACGTCGGACGTTGTTCTCTATATATTTCTATTATATTATCTGCGGGTCATATAATAATATAATAGTTGCCGTACACACACACCCACACACATTATTTGAGAGTTCGTATTCGGATTTATTGACTTGTCCTGTTGGCCGAGAACGCGTCTCGAAAAGAAATTCGACTTTTGGTATTATTTTGTATTGTATTTTATTGTTTTTTTTTTTTTTTTTATATATCGGGAAGTCGATTTCATATTTTATTTTCACGAAAACGTTATCGGCTATCTAATATCCTATATATAAAATATTGTACATACAGTGATTCCTATCAAAGATACACTATACCATATAATATATTAATATATTATTGGACTGCCGCAAAAGTCGGTCGTAAATTATGAGCGTATTATAATATTATATTATTTTCAAAAAAATTTAACGACGCAAACCCGTATTTTTTTTTATACGAGTGACGCTGTGACAACTGACAATAGTAAAGGTATACCTACTCTTTTTTCGTGTTTTTTTTGTTGCGACGACGACGACGATGAAAAAAGCGAAATAACTATTATAACCACGTGTAAAATAAATTACAATTACAAAAATTCATTGTAACCGAGTATGTACAATATTAAACATAATCATAATATTATGTATAGCCTGCCAATAACCATGCTACAGTAATTGCATTCGCCGTGTATTAAGCTTCGCCGATGCGTGTGTGATCTTTGTTTATCGATTTTGTCGAACCATAAATAAAATACGCACACACGTTCGGAACATATTTTAATTAAAAGCCTTGTACAAGCTAATAATTGTTGATATATTATTTTTTCACGCTTGTTATCGATTAATTTATGACATTGAAACTGTTTTAAATGTTTGACAAATTATAGTTCTGTATACTATTTATGAATCGATAAACCATATATTTTTATATTAATATTTTATACTATAGGTAGGAAGATCGACAAAAATCATCACTTAGATACCTATAAACACCGACCACGGTTACCGTGAGTCATACATTTCAAGTCATGCCGCAGCATAGGATTTGTTGATCCCACTGGAACCAACGACAGTTACAAATTCGTTATAATATAATACAAATTGCGTATGTCACCAATTTCTGGGGATTAAAATATAATATATATATATATAAAATAATGAAATAATGAACGCAGTGCCATAAACATGAACAATTCTCGGTGGGAGGGGGAGAGGCTTCAACCCACAGATAGTTTTTCACTAGTTATTAGTACCTACCTATAATATTACCTATATTATAGTACAACCAGTCAGATAAAGTCAGTAGGAATGGATTAAGTATACCTATATACTATATAATATAGTATGAAATATTTTGCTTATGTATTGTACGAGATGTCTTGTATTAATGTTTTTTTTTTGGGGGGAAGGGGGGGGCTTAGCCCTCACAAGATAATCCAATTTTCATCACTGAGTACATAAGAGTGTAAACAGACTTACAACTGGATATAGCACATTTGCTCACATTTACCTTTTTTACTAATCATTTGCACCAGGGACTGGAACCTTGATGATTTTGACGGTTCCGGTTCCGGTTCGGTTCTTACAAAAACTAAAATTTCGGTTTCGGTTTCTTTTCGGTTTTTAAGAAAACTAAAATTTCGGTTACGGTTTCTTTTCGATTTTTAAAAAAAACTAGAATTTCGGTTTCGGTTTCTTTTCGGTTTTGAAAAAAATCAAAATTTCGGTTTCGGTTTTTAAATTGACAAAAATGTAGGTTTCGGTTTCTTTTCGGTTCTTAAAAAATGAAAACTGAAATGAAATTCCTGTTTAGGTTTTATACTTGAAAGTTAACACTCATGTAAGAAATATTTGATAAGTTTCGTTGGCGTCAATACTAATTTTTCTACCAGATATTCTACCAATTGCTTAGGACAAAGGAAAGGACTAAATAACTTCATGTACTATCCCGTTTCAAATAACACTTTTTGTATTTTACTAGATTAGGTACTATGTAGCATTTACCAATTACTACTTGTTGCATTATTATTCAGTATTTAAGATTTTAAAAATAAGTTATTTTTTTTTATCACCAGTTACCAGACATTATATTTTCTTAGGCTAGAGACTTGCGGTCAGGGGTTTAAGAAGATAGTAGATTGGAAAGTCTATTCCATTTTCACAGGATTTTAATCTGATTACTTTATTTTATTCACCTCATAGATATTATATATGAATTATAAGTATGTGCTTTACCTTAAAATGATCTGTAAAAAGTGAAAATCTTAATGATAGTGACAATTAAAAATCATTTTAGTCATACACAAAATTAATATAATACACATAATTACGTTAAAGATAAAATAAAACGTTTGAAATGTAAAGATATTATTCATACATTAGTTATAATATTGGTACCTACTTATGACAAATAAATTATATACTTTTGAATATTTGATGATAAGGATAACTTAAACGTCTTAAACATCATAATGGATTATAATAAAATCTTATTTAAAATAAAAAAAAAACCCTTTCAAATTAAAATGTTATGTACTTTACATAAAATTAAGTAATAAACTTATAATATGTAACAAATAATATTTAAAATTTTAAAATAAAACAAAACTTATAAAAATGTAAATTATATAGCAAATCTTACTCTTTAGTTAAATTTTTTTTTCAAACAATCTATTTGTACGAACTATTAATTGATCTAATAATAGTAATAGTAATAATATACACAATCATAAAATGCCTAGTTATTTATAAATATTAACCATATACCTATATTGAGAATTGCTTGGTATTGTGGTAACTGGAACCCCTATAGGTACCTACAATCTACATATAATAATATGCAGTAAATAATGACTTATTTTTATTGGGAATTTCTCATTTCTATTACATTATCAGTTGTTACGTACAAAATACAAATATTGAAGGATTGTTTTTGTATAATTAACCTCTTAATAATAATAATAGATTTACGAATTTGTTTAGTTCATATTATATTATTATCTACCATGTACCAATGACAATTGACAGATATATTAAATAAAATTAATGATATAACAAAACCGAAATTAAATGTAAAAACCTTTAAAAAAAAGTATGGGTTGCGGTTAAGTTGCGGTTTTTAAATAAATATAAATAAGGGTTCCGGTAAGGTTCCGGTTTTTAAATAAATTTAAATAAGTGTTCCGGTGAGGTTCCGGTTTTAAAATTAATTTGAATTAGGGTTTTGGTGAGGTTTCGGTTCCCAATATTGAAAGGGTTCCGGTTCCAAAACCGGTTCTTTTCGGTACGGTTCCAGTCCCTGATTTGCACACAAAAACACATAGACAGGGAGCTACTGACGGTTTGACCTACCCATTTTAGCTTCCTTGAC